TGTATGAAAAAATCTCATATTAGTACTGAATAAAAGTTTGTTAGTTGTTGCACGGTGTGACTGCAGGAAGGAGTACAGTAAACCTTTCCTGTGTTATATTTGCGGAAATGAATTCTACAAGATAAATCTAATATTTTTTTCTTTACTGATCAAGCATAACAGCACTATAGCATCTTCTGTGTTTTATGGTTTTAGATTTTGCTTCAGGATAGAATGATATGTTGTTCACCCATATTGTTCCTTTTTCAGAAAATGTACGGTTGAAGTTTTTTTTGCAAAAACGAAACTCGCATCTAGGCATAAGCTTGTACTTTTTGTTGTAAAAAAAAGTGTGAACAGATGGGAAGTCGTTTGAAGGAATTAGAGGAAATGCTGATGGAGTGTCATGTAAAGAACCAGACAACAATGAGGTTGCTATATAATATGAAAAGATTATTTGTTACATAAAAATGTGTATTTACAAAGGAAAGATTATTTAAAGTGAAGTTTCAGGAATACTTCAGTAATATTGTGTAGTATCGCTCTAGCAAGATCTCGCATCCATCAAAGAGCTAGCCTTCCTGCGCCACTGAAATGGGGGTTTAACCAATTGGCTGTTATTTGAATGTTCGCTCTGTGTGATCTATAAGTAATGTTAATGTACAGAGTTTATATAATATCTGACAGCCATCACTTTGATGTAAGTAAACTCTGAAACTTGCTGTATAATAAGCGTGGAAGCCTAGCAGCAAATTAGTTTTCTTGATTTACTTACATTTTGCTGAAAGCACTTTTGTTCAAATGTCACATATTCTGTAAGTACATTTGTACTTCTCAAATTGATTTCAAACCTTTTATTGTTTTCCGCAATTTTTAGTATATGAAGCAACTTCAAAATTGTGAAATTTGTAAAATGATTTTTAGAAGACTTTTCTTACCAACGTTAGTTTGGTTGATGTATCCTTCTGAGAAAGTACTCAATCACTTATTTTTGCAAGTAGTAGGTAAAAAGATAGTTAGATTAACTGATGCTTCATTTAATTTGGATTTTATATTGACATAAAATCACGTAATTAATTTGCCATTTAAAAGTGCCCTACAGCCTCTGCAATCGTAGAATAATAATTTAGAAATGACTGTTTGGCTGTCTGTGACTTATCATAATTAACTGTCTTCTCAGCATAAAACATAAAAAGGAGCATACTCGGATAATTTATGTTTTAATGTGTTGCATAATATTATCTCACCCAGAAATAGCAGGAAGAGTATCTCGTATTTCATTGTGAGAGAAGTTTTTCAGTCAGTCTCTAGTTTGATTTCTTTTTAGGGAGAGAATTTTCTTTAAATGAGTTCCTATGTTTGGCTCAGCTCTTACAGCTTAGTGCTGAAAATATAGAAAGCAGTCATTTTAGGAATTTACTGATGGATTTAAAATGTCATGATCCTGTTTTGTTTTGTAACATTGCTGAAGCTGAAAAAATAGCGGAGAAAGACCCAGCAATACAAACTAATTTCTTGTTAGCCAGTGAGGCGTGTCTTCTTCTGGATGTCATTAAATTAGAAGAAAGTTTTTACTTTGTTATAATCCCACTGCTCCTTTTTAAACGTAGTTTCCACACACCTAACATTTTTTCACTGAAACATCGCCGTAAGCTGACGTGATTATCATGTGCTTTTCTTTTATCTTCTAAAGCTTGAATTTTATGATTTAAAAGGTACTTTAGTCACCTAAGGAAGAGTGACATTTTATGTTATTTTCTGTAGGAAAACAGCTTTGCAGAAATTATTTATTGGAATGTAGGACAGTTCTTTTGAAATAATTTGAATGGCTACTGTAAAGGTATTCTGTCCATTACTGGAAAATAACTTTACATATACTTTCTGTGACTTAAATCATTGACGACATTTGTTGCAACGTGAATGTGGCATTAAGATTCTTAGAGCATTCAACTTCAAGTAGCAGTCCAGTAATGGTATAGGCTAAGGATATTATTATATCCTGTGCTGAGAAAAGCACATCTGTAAAACTGTTGTGTCTTGGTTATTAGTGCTGGGATTTGAACTATCTTTAATTTCATTTGACTTGTTCATCTTCCTTAAGGATCTCCATAAAGATGCACTGAGTATTCTTTTCAGTCCTTAGTTAGGGTTTGCATCAGTGGTCGTAAACCTGCTTAGCGGACAAAGACTCTTTTCCCTTTGAAGTTGCTTCCCCAGCTTTTCAAAAGGTCTGCAAGCCGGTTCCCCTAAAACAATTTAGAAAAGTTTGAAGCGGTGCCCCTTAAACCAGCAACAAAATAAAATTTTCTCTTTGCATTATTGAAAACCATGACAATCTTCTGAAGCAATAACAGTTTAAAAGCTTTTAAAGAAATCTGTTCTGCTCTACGACCAGCTTTTAAGTTGACCCCATTATTTGGAAAATCAGAGGCTTGGAAACCCCTAAATACTTGACATTCTTATCAAAGGAGTCAGCCTGACTTTTCACAGGACTCCTCTTTTACAGTATTTATTCAAATTCTAATTTGTTTAAAGATACTATTTGGATTTCATTTATTTCTTTTTTGCATTAAAGTGTTTCTTTAGAACAAATGTAATTTGTAAACAGTTGATATAATTTGTGAAACACTGATCCTGCCGCCTGTAGATTTATCCTCTATTATGGTAGAAGACAAGTCCAAATTCTAAGATGACTGCAAACGTTATTTATCTAATTTTACTTTTCTGTGGACTGTGACAAATATATATGCTCTGTTCCTACTGCTTGTTTTAAGAATCTTATCTCCTACATTTTGTGTGTATCGTTACTGACAACCTAAGATAGGTAAAACCTACGGTAATGTAGTTGCTGTAAGCAGTAAGTTTACTAGAAGGATTTTGTTTATCTGCACCTCCTAATAATTCATTCAGACATTGCTTCTTGTAAGTCCATCTAACTCCAACATCTTTTGTTTGTTACCTGCACTACAACGTTGCACATTTAAAACTCTGATTTCAAAAGTTTCATTAGCACGTGTAGTATATAATTAGACCAATGCCTTGCTGACCTATGCAAGTATGCGTCAAATGCAATTTCTGAAAGCAAAAAGCAGTAAGACCAGAATTCTAGAATTTTGCTAACATAGGCAGCTCATTTAAAAGACAACAAACGAACAGGAACTTTTAATGCACAAACCTGCCTCATCTTATGGCTTGGGGACAATGGGGAGAAAGAAGAACAAAATTAAATTGTTACTGGACGATAAGACTGTTACGGTTGCTGTTACATTTTTCCCCTAAAAGTGCAAATTTGTGGCTTGTTTACACAATGTGCATTTGTGAATCTTCTAGGGTGCTTGCCCCATGTTTGGGTGAGGAAAGTTCAATAGAGCAAACTTTCTCTAAAAGATTTGTGAGCATTTGTAGGATCAGCCACCTGAAAGGTACCTAGAGGTCATTAAGTCTACCCTTATGCTTCTGATTTGTTGGGAGTTTCCTTTGCTTCTGGACTGTCTGCCATACCTCCTGGGTTTGAGTGTGTTTTGCCAAACATTATACAAAAGACAAGGAATAGCTTTTAATGATTATTTATTAAGAGATTAGGGACAATTCAGCAAGTTGGTCCAAAGCATTTTCAGATTTAAAATGCTGATAACATACATACATATGAGTGTGTGTGCGTATGCACACATATATATTTAGTGTATATGTATGTGTCTAAGAAGAAACAGATTTATTTACTTTTCAGGATTTTGTATGGTGAATATAAATTGTAGATTATAACAGTTAACTGCAGGACAAATCAAATTTTGAAAGGTCAAGATCCTTGATTTGATACTTTGTCATAGATTATGACCTTTTCTGAAAAGCCATTTGAATGTGGCAGCTACACGGACACTCTGAGAGGTGTTGCAGATGGTCTGAGTAAAAATGTAAAATATGGAGAGTAAGCTAAGTGTTTGTTTATGCAAGCCCAGATCTACACTTCTTCTCCACAGAAGTCTCTCACTATACGTGTGCGGGGTCTGGGTAGCTACCTGTTTTAATGTATTTCCATGATTTTTTATAAGACCCAGTACCAGTATTGCCAGTACTGTTAAGGCTCTACATGGACAAACTAATGGCATTATTCTGGTTTTATCTTTTGAAAAGTTACAACCCCAAATGTAATTTGATTGATGCTTCCTTAGTAACCAATGGAGTCAGTTGGCCCTATTATTACTCTGGCTTTTTGCAAAACCATCTCCTGTTTTTGAAGTAAAGGAAGTTTGGTTTTACCACTGCTTTACTGCCTTGTTGGTATCTCATATATCATCTTTTATTGTGAAGTGAAATTATTCCCTGCTGCTTAAAAACTCGACTAATCCCTTTTGAAACTACATTATAACATTGCCCAAGATACATTCTTTAGAGTTTAAATGCTTTGTAAAATGCCATGAATGAACTAATTAGATGGTAATACAAAAATAATACTGTGATTTCCATGAACTGCTAGCACTCTTGAGGAGGGTGATCCAGTGAATGACCTGTGAGTGAAGTTTGAAAACTATTTAAAGAGCTTTATAGCATTTGCTTACCCTTTCTGTGTCTTGAGCTGGAGAATAATTTTTTTTTTCCTTTAAATGTGCCAGTTGTAAAATTTCTTTTTCTTTATGGTATCTGTATATGTTTGATTAAAAAGAGAATCTCAAAAAATAGTTTTATTTGTTCTTGTTGCAGGGAAATGTCTAATGGGGCAGCGGTAATTAATGCTAGGTTTGGGTGTTTTGATTTTGCAAACTCATCAGTAGTGTTTTACTATGCACCTGACTTTTCTGTTAATGTACATTAGTAAATGTACAGGCTGAATTCCTACGGTATGCTGCTGCTGTACTATATAGATACGAGTACGGAACAACCATATGCAAACAATGGCATAGAAGTGATTTGTAAGGAACATGAACTCAAAGAGCAAGGAAACTGAAGACGCTTCAGTGATTGAAAGCAGTGATTTTAGAAATAGATTGTAACCGAGGATTGCTTTTATTGTTTTTTCATTGAAGGTGAATTTGCAACTCCTCGAGCTATTTTGACAGGACATGACTATGAGATCACCTGTGCTGCCATTTGTGCTGAACTCGGCCTGGTAATAAGTGGTTCAAAAGGTAAGCAGCTGTTGTCGTTTCTTTCTGTTCATGCAGCTATAATCCTAATGCAAAAAGGAATATAGTTTCAGGTGGCAGAATTTATTAACTTTATGGTGGTTTTATTTCTAAACTTTTTTTGGTTGCTATGAAATTTGAAACCTGTTTTTGAATGTGTTAAACCTAAGGATTATTCAGACATACAAGAAGAGGCAGCCCTGTCATAGCCTACTGATTACTATTTCTTTTTGTTTGTTTATCCGGTGTGTAATTGCATAGAGCATACAGTTGGATACAGCTCTTGACTGCCAGGATGGTGAAGAATGTTTGTTATGGATAGCTTCTCCGAAAGGGAAGCAAAAATTAGTTTCGGGAGAAAGAGAATGTGCTGTCTTGTTTGTTTGATGAAGGGTATATATAAACTACCAACTAAAATTTATAGTAAATCTATTCGGGCTCTTTGGGCTTAGCTTTGGGCTGGCAAATTATAAAGAACGGTGTTGATTCCATGGATATTGTTTCTCATTTTCCTATTTGCTGGTCCACAATTATTTTTAAACTGGAAATTTCTTAGAATTAGGATCTTTAAGCATTAGTGTCTCCAAAATACCTACTTTGAGATACTTTTTCAAAGTTGGGTGTACTCACCATATGCACCTGTGTGCATTTCTGTTTTATGCATGTGAACACTTGTGGATTACATTCAAATCAGGTATTTGTCCAAATATATTAAAAAGCAAATATATATGCCTTTAGAGTACCTATATGTGTAAATTCATTACGCTTACCTCTGTGTGTCTTTGTATTTCGAAAATCTCATTTTAGGATTCAGTACATTTATTTTTGTGCTCTCAAAATGAACTACTACAAGTTTTAAAAGAAAATCCACAAAAGAAAACCTGTTACGTCTCTAACTAGTTTTGATAGGTGCTCTAAAATAACTTAATACAAAGCTTTTAAGGGACAAGCTGTTCATTTTACTCTCTAGCACCCTCAAAGTCATAGGCTATCCACTTAAACATGGTAAAAATCATTCTAATGAATTATAATAGCGATTACCTAAGTAGAAGTCATTACTTATTATTTGATATATGATGTCTTTAAATAAGCATGTAAATCAGTAACTAGAGATTTTATTGTGTCTCATTAGAAGGACCATGCCTCATACATTCTATGAATGGAGATCTACTGAGGACGTTAGAAGGTCCTGAAACATTAGAAGGTCCTGAAAACTGCCTGAGACCAAAACTTATTCAAGCTTCAAGAGAAGGCCACTGTGTCATATATTATGAAAACGGCCTCTTCTGTGTATTCAGTGTGAATGGGAGACTTCAAGCCACTATGGAAACAGATGACAAGATAAAGGTGAGTGTACTGAAATGTGTGCTAAGGACTGTCAGTTCTAGTATCAGGAAGAGCTATCCGTGTTGGAGTTGTGTGGAGACTCTTTCTATAGCCAGGCTGTAGAAATACGTGGTACCAGACCATACTAGCAGCATTCTGAAAAAATTGAAGTTAAGGGGACCATGTACTCCTAATAGTACTGGTTCTAATTTTAAAATAACTCTGTTCATATAGTAAGGAATACTCTGTAGGCATTTCCTTGAACTGAAGAATACAAGTACTACTAATTGCTGACCAGGAGAAGCTGGGCTACTTCTTTGCTTTTGAGTCTGAAGGCAGGAGGTCATTGGACATGCTGTTTTGGATGTTGACTTTCCCTTTTTTGGCATCTCTGTCTACATTCCTTCATCTTAGCTTGAGATAGCATGTGTTGTGCTGAGCTTCAGGAAGTTTATAGGCATATGTCCGTATTTCAACTCTTTAGCCCTTTGGCATTTGCTGAGCAGGCAGCTAGGTTCCACATCTTTAGCTGCCAGAGACATGGGGCAAGTCCAAAACTATGCAGGAGGCATTTTAATCTTATGGTTTTATGGAAATAATTTTATAAGACAAAATGCAGGTCTTTTGACAGTTCCTATGAAATAGTACCTATGAAACAGAGCAGAACCTGCCAGCTATACTGCAGTGAAGCAGAAATGTCAGAAAAATACTTTCCTTGAATTAAAAATATTCCCACTTTTTCCTTGAATGAGAAAGAAAGGAGAGAGAAGGGGAAAAAAAAAAAAAGAATGAGCAAATCTGCCAGAAAGTTAGAGAATGCAGCACAGACATGAAGCAAGATCACGTTGCTGGGTCAGCATGCAAGCTTCACCCTCGTTTTATACAGAATTATTGAAATTCTTTCAGATGATGTGCAAAATTGTGAGCATTTTTGAATTTGCATCTGTTCTTTTCTTGACTCTATTCATAATAATTCTTATGATGGAAGAATATGTCTATATATTTGAAAGAATTTTGATCTTCATTACTTCCATTTCATAACTTACATGGGAGAGTGAATGCTCTGTTGCAGTGTAGTTCAGTGTATTCCACTTAAAACCTTCTAAAACTCTGTGGTGTACTATACTCTGTTAATGCAGCATCCCTGTGTGTCAAAACATCAGCTACGTTGGTGGTGGAATATGCAGAAATAACTCTCCGTATAGGGTTCTTTTGCATCGTGAGGGTGCTGTCTGCAGGGGTGAGAGGGATGTGTTTATTCCTGTCCCAAGCCATTTTTTACAAATTAGTGTAGATTCTTGCTTCAATTCTTGATCTTTTTTCAATTCTCTGAAATTGCACCTTTGACTGTCCTTGCACAAATGCTTTTGAGATTTTCAGCCTACCCTTCATCCTAGTTCTTTCCTTACAGCAAGTACATATCGCAGTGTTTTCTCTTTTTACAATAATAATGTTGATAATCCGTCACTTTCAGTTGTGATTATGTTGTCAGCTAGGCCAGCAAATCTGTAAAATATCTAGAAATCCCTTGCCGACTAAAACAATTTCTGTAGTGTTTCAGTCAGTACCCACAGCTTTAGGAATGTTGCTAGAGGCAATGGAAGTTCCGCTCTCTGTGGACCAGAATTACGTACGTACAGGGGTTTGGGTTTTATTTTGTTTTGTTTTGTTTTCTTTCTCTCCCAGGGGTCCTAGTTGGGCTTTACGCTTAAACAACCTACAGCGTCTTTCCCAGTGCTTCTGCACTTTATCATGTTAGAAGGCAAGTGGCAACTGCATGATTAAAGTAGGGGCACTTAAAATGAATAGTACCTACCCATGGGCTGTGCTGAGAAACACTTTTCGTTGGTTTTTGCTTGAGGAGAGTAGAAAAGGGAAGGAAAAGATTGTAAGTGTTGAATCTGTAATGTAATGTTCTGGTTTCTATTTCCCTGTGTCATTATGGACCAGTATTTCAGAACGTTATTGACAAAACTAGCTGTTTTCAATAGTGATGTTTGGAACAACATTCTGATTTTCTTTCTTGTGTTCTTGTGCTAGAAAACTGCTAGAAAAATTTCGGATGCTCTGGGGAAATGCAAAGTCTAATCAATGCCTTCCACCTGTTTTTGTTTTAAATACTGTATTGCCCAGTGGGGCTTAGGCATATCGCAGAACATCTACCATGTAATGTTTAGATATCTTAATGAATAACTTAACTCTAAATAGTCTGCTTGTTCTGAGAGGTAAAGTTATTTTACCCTAAACAAAGACTGTATGTTGTTTCACCCAGAGGAACCAATTTATTTTCCTTTCCTGAGTCTGTTTTGAAATGTGGAAGTGCCCACAAGACTCCCGCTGCTGTAAGCCAGGGCTGTCACAGTGTCAGCTCTGCCTTTTTACAAAGCACTGCCCTTCAAAAATCTGAGATGTTAAAAGGGATTTGTGCAAAGTTTTGAGACTTTCCAAGGAAATACAAGTCAGAAATGCAGCTTTTAGAACACTGCTGAAATTGTGCGCTTTGGGGACGTCTGAAGCTCATGTTGTGAGAAAGATTAGTTGCAGAGTTGTTTCAGTTTCATACCTAGCAGAATTGTAGATAAACTACGCTGGGGAAAAGCAGAACAGTAAAATTGATTCATGTCGTCTTCTATACCAGTTGGAGTACTTGGGAGTAAAAGCATCCTTTCGTTTGTTAAATCTTGAAGGGCATGTCATGAAACTGAAATGTTGACAAGGTGACCTTTTTCTTCCATTCATTCCTTCATTCATATATATATATATAGGCAAGTGGCTGGGAAATTTATTAATAAACAATAAAAATAAATACATCATCATCTTGTCTTCATGACAAGCCAATGACTTAGTAAAATTGCATAGGTATTAGTAAAGGTTCAAAGCCTATACTTTGTTTAATCAAAAGATCACAAACCCCACTGCGTTTTGCAGGTAGTGGAAGAGTTAAAGATTAATGACTTTAATTTGCCTTTTAATATAGCATTTCTTCAGTAAAAGCCTCAAGTATAAAATTCAAGTGAACCATGACCATAAGGTTAATGGATTTTCATCAGCTGAATTTTATAAGTGTGGCAAATAATTATTTGTCACGGTCTTCATTGCAATTTGAAAATACCCTTAGGAGACTGCCATTGCTATAGAGAAGAAAACCACCCCATATTGATTTTTGCTTCTAATGAATAATCTTTTTAATAATTGTGTGTGGTATGTTAGACCTCATGATCGTCTACTCAGTGCATGGAAGTTCTAGATAATTTTCACAATCTTATCTCAGTTTTGTTTTCTATCCCTTTCTTACTGAGTTACTATACTCTTCTAAGAGGGTCTCTAAATGAGTTTTCAAGCTTCTTGGAGCTGTGCTTTGGGAGGTTCTTAGCATATTTTTGTAGGCTGATAGAAACAATCACAGAAGCAATTCATCGTTAGAACATTTGTTTTTTGGGGGGAGAAGCTTCAGCTCAGAATACTCAACTCTAACCTTGGTTAGTATTCAGTTTTCCATCTTTAGATGTGGTTGGAAAAAACCTCCACATATTGTGCTTTATTGTGTCTAAATTTACATGTATGTGTTGTCATCTCAATTCAAAACACATCTAGAATAGGTTTATCATCTATTTTTTTTCAGCTTTACAGTATTTTGTTTACAGTATATATATGTTTGTATTTCAATTACATTAATTTTAAAGTTATTGTGTGAAATAAAATGTGTTTCATTCTGATTGCTTAGGAGTTGTTGCGGTAAACACTCAAAATTTATAATATGCTATAGAAACTCTATCTTAATGTAAGTGTTGCGCATCATGTAATTCTTAAAGGATATGTTTGGCATCGTAGTAATAGATCACAGCAACGCAAAAAATACAGATGTGCAATATGTCTGACTTCAATTATTGCTGTTCACGAAGCAGTATCTTACGTACACTGTATATTTTGGGTTGTAGGCTTGTCAGCAGTCTGTATAAACACTTTAATGTTTCATGAACGTAACATTTCTGTGTTTTAGTTTCTCTCATTTTTGTGGTGCATGTGCTATAAATTCTGTATGTTAAAACAACAACTTCCTTTTCCTGAGGAGTTTAAAATCACAGTACGTTACAAGTTTTGCATATTGAAAAACTGTAGAAGGAGAGATTGCAAGTGCCAAAATACTTGCAGACTTCAGCAGAGAGAGATATGTTTGCAAGATCCTGTCTTCAGTTCTTTCTACTGTTTCCTAAATTTAAATCTTTGAGCTGGAATTTTGCTTGTAGACTATCATCTTGAGGCAATTTCCTTGCCTTCCAGCGACAATGTTTTGGTTAAAGTGGATCAATCTATTTGTAGAACATGTACGTCTGGAATTTCAAAGCCATTGCTCTGAATATCCTCCATTCTTACATTCTTCTATTGAAAAGTTTTGTGGCTCTCTGCCTTGGGTCAGAGAGCTGAAGTTTATCATGAATTTGTCCTGGTGTGAAGGATGCGTATTTTATTGAAAAGCTGCCCAAATGTAGCTGATTCATGAGTCTCAGCTTAAATGCATTCGGTAGCTAATGCTTAACATCTACATTCTGTACTGAACATCTGTAACTCAGGGACACAGAGTTTTCCCCTGCAACCAATCCCCCCCTACAGTGAGGTGCCCAAAAATGCCATGGCAGGAAATGGGATGAGGTGATCCTGGATGAGGAAGGGGAAGGACTGATGGGGAAGCAGAGGAGAAAGAAGAGCAGAATCAAGGATAGAACCAAGGACAAAATGAAAGGGATGTTTGCAAGAGCGCCAGGAACAGAGAAGTAGGGATGGGAATGTAGAAACTTGTCAGACTGGGAGAAGACAAGAAGAGGCAGAAAGGAGTGAAGGAAAAATAGGAATTGGAAGTAGGAGCAATGCAGTGAAGGATTAGGTAGGATCAGGAGTTTAATACTAGATAATAGTGCTTCATAGTAGCAAAGCTCCTTACTTTCCTTTTGATAACAGGAAACCATCCAGCAAACAACTAGCAGCCTTCCGTGTGCTCAAATGAAGAGGATGATAGGCTGCTGCTGTGCCAAGGATTGTGTACAAAAATAAAAGTAGGGAGCAGAGAAAGGAAAAAACAGAAATCAAGCTGGGGAGCAAAAGTCAGAAAGAGAACTGAGAAGAGGCATCTGGAAACAGAAGGAGAGCATAGGAAAAGGTTTGGGCTTACAAGAGTTATTAATAATGATCCAAACCATAGTTTTAAGGGTCTTGGATCTTGCTGGTAGCTCGTGCTGATGTCATTCCACATGACAGAATTCATTCAACTTTTTGGTTGTGGTTTTGGGTTTTTTTGTTGTTGTTTTTTTTGAAAACCCTACAAACCCTTCAGTTTTCCCAGATAGTTGGAGGATGAGGCTATAAAATCAAGGCATGGTATCCTCTACTGCTTAAGTTTCTTTTCTGCATGGCAGCAGGACAGGATATTCCTTTCAGAAGAAGTTTTGTACTCTTCAGGGTTACTGTAGTAGTAGTTGCTAAGACCCGTACTGAAAAGATGTGTAATATCTTAGTATTGATGTGAGAAAAGTCAGTAATGGAGTCTTCCAGGGGTTGGTGTTGGGAACTAGTTGTAGTCAGTGTTTTCTGAGGTTGAGGAATGTTGAAGGTCTACAGAGTGATGAAGGCAATGGATAAGATGAATGCAGAACTGTTATTCAGGAAACCTCACAATGTGAGACCTCTGGGGTACCCACTGAAACTAGTAGGATCACTTCAAAACAGATAAAACTATTTTGCACTGTAATGAACTTCTGCCAGTTTTTTTTGTTCGGGTTGGGTTTGTTTGGTTTGGTTTGGTTTTTTTTTGTTTGTTTGGTTGTTTTGTTGTTGTTGTTGTTTTTTCCACAAAAGGCATCAGCAGGCTCAAAATCAGATCAAGAAAATTCATGGCCAGCATGTCCATAAATTGATACCAAAGGGAATGGACTGAGATATACTTTCTGATATTCCTGATCCAGTGATTGTAGGTGCTGGGGAGCAGAAGGGGAAGAAACTGTAGAGTAGCCGGCCTCACAGTATCTCCTCCTGCCACTGTTGGGGATACAACACTGGGCTAGGTGGATTATGGTCTGTCTGACCCCATAGGGTATTGCTTATTTTAATAAAATTTCAAGTTCAGTTCTGTTAAACCGCATTTTGACTTAATTAAATTGGCAAAACCCCTGTTTAAGAAATATTTCTCATGCTTCCAGTCATCTTAATATATGATAGTATCGTCTGGTATAGTCATCTGGTAACTGAGGAAAGTTGTTGTTCTTCCAGGTACTCGGTACGCATCATGATTTTTTCCAACAGCACACAAAAAATATCAAAATAGACGGAAGTCTCCTGTTTCAAGAAGTCTTCACTGTGAAAACCAATGATATCCCATCTTTCTCCATGATCTGAATCCCAAATAAAAATTTCAAATGTAGATTTGCCATCAGTCCCCATGGTGCACGCAGAATCAGGGTATAAGCCATTGAATTTGTCACAGGCGGTTTCAGGATAGATGATGAAAGGAAACACACTCTTTATTAAGAAGGGTGGATCATTGTCTTATTAATCCAGAGCAGGAATCTAAAAATGCTGGTCTAAATTAGTTCTAGTAATTTGTATAACATTTCAGTTCCCTCCATCAGTCAGCCTCTTGCCAGAGAGAAAGGGAGGATAGCTTCTGCTAGGCTAGTATTAAAGACCCTTGGGGGAATGTCAGGTGCTATATTTTAATGCCAGTGCTGCTGGATCTTGTAAATCTAGCTAATTAGAAGAGTAAATTTCTGTAGCTGACCTCATATTAGATCTTTGGAATATAGAATAAATCACAGGTGAGGTAAAACTTAACTAGTGACATCTAATGTATTAAAGAGATTTGTGCATAGTAACATTAATTCTGTTGCTGGGTAGAATAACATAACAATAATGTTGCTTCCCAAAAGCTTGTATTGATACCAAGTCTCCCTAGACATTCAGCTGTCAATATGAAACCTTTTATGAAAGTAAAAGAGGGGGGAGTAAGAGCAACACATATTTATCTGACAAATATCCATGTGATTTCCCCTTAGGCAATTCAGCTGAGTCGAGATGGACAGTATCTGCTTACAGGTGGAGACAACGGAGTTGTCATGGTATGGCAGATGTGGGACCTCAAGCAGCTTTTTGCTTACCCAGGGTGTGATGCTGGAATCCGATCCATGGCCCTGTCGTATGACCAAAGGTTAGAGCAAAGTCTGGTCTTCACAAGAATTTCAGAGAAAATATATACTTACAATTAAATCGAATTTTTGGTTTTCTTCTGATTTTGATTTTCTGTGGATCACAGATCCTGGTGATTATATTAAGAATTCTGCGCTTGCGTAAGTTTCTTTCTAACATGTCATATTTAGGGCAGATAGTCTTTTTCAGAATTTCAGCTCTTGCGGGAATGAAGAGAAATTCAAGAAATCTTACTTTGGCAGACTGTCAAGATAGTCTGAGTTATTGGCCTGTGCCAATGGTGCCAATGTACATATGGGTCACATGGAGGTGGAAGGTTACGTACGTGCTTTTCATATTTCTTCTCTCACTTATCATACAAACCACGTTCCTAATTCCAGACCTTTATGTTAAAAATAGAACAGTTAGAATAGTTGCACAATAAGATTCCCTCTGCACATCCCTATTTTGCTAAAGAAATACTAATTTTCATTTCTAGAAAAGTTATTTTGTCTGCATAAAGCATGACCCTCCTTGAAGATTCCTTCTACTGAAGGCAATCAGTTAATATTTTTTTAGTGCATTTTTACATTTCAGTTTCCAGTGCAGCTGTACGTAAAGCCCTTCTGTTTTATCACAAAAGTATTGTTTAGAAGATGGATGTTTACCATTTCATTTGTACACTTTTAGCTTGCAGGCTAGAATTTTGTTTGCTTTGCTGTATTTGCTTAGTGGAGTTCCTGTGTGCTTTTCAAGCAGATTTGGCTCCTAAATCCCATAGGAATGTCTACATTGTGCAGTAAAGCATATTGCTGAGACTCTTAACCTTCCACGTACTGACGTCCATACTGAATGCTTTAACATTTTTACCTGGACTACATTTCTAAAACTTACATAAAATGAACTTTAAAAATTCCAAGCCAGCAAAATCCGTGGACTTCAATCAATCATTCAACAACTTCTTGTTCAGCATAATTAGAGATTATAGGCATTTTGGAAGAAATAGTTTTCCATTAAAAAGCCCCCGCTGTTAAAAATATTTCAAAAGCTGGAGTTACAGCTGTTGAATTTTAGACCTCTGAAATGTACAAAATTTTGCATTTAGAGAATCTTTAAACTGTAATTAATGGCACGTCAACATAATCTTCTCATGTCATTAAACTGAAATTTAATATGGACATCTATAAATTTACCCGTGTGCTCAAGTTAGGAACCAGTTCACTTTGGGTTTGAAGACACAGAAACTCAGAAGAGATTTACTTGGAGTATTTTACTGAGTAATTGCTCAGTGATTACAGGTAATTATTCAGGGCAGTTTATTTGGAATGCATGAATGTATGTGTTTGAGTGACAATGCCTAAGAAGATGTAACCTAATACAAAAACATTCAAAATGGTGCTCTTGAAGTTGTGTGATAGTATCAAAATGTAATCTTTTGATGATCTCGTATGTAGTCTTTGTTTTGAAGGAAAAATTACAGCTTTTTACTTAGAATTTTTTTTTTGTAATTCTGAGGCTTTTTTCCTAAAATGCCAGAATTTTATATGTCCTCGTACTTTTGATTTTCATAAAACTTTAATATGAGATGGTAGAAAAGATGATGTAGAAACTGTTGTAATTGTGTGCTATGTCAGGATCACGGCTTTTCAAACAGATCTAAATGATCTCTAGTAGCAGGCCAAGTAGAAAGAACAAGTGCCTCAGTGGGAAAACACAGCGTTGCTTTCAGGAACTTCCGAAACAATCAAAACCTTCAGATTGCTTTCAAACCCAAACACTAACATTTCCAACTGAAGTCTTGTCCCCGCATCTAATTCCCTAATGTAGATCATGTGCTTAAATGGGGGAGGTGAAGCTGAAATGAACACTTCTCCGAGCCTTCCTTCACTTTGCTGCTTCACCAGGGCTTCATCCCAGTCCAATATCCCCCCAAAACCAACTAAGAAATAATCCCAGGATATCTGAAGTGGCTTTGCGGGACAGTGATGCTGGTAAACAATTCTGTTGTCTAACTCGCAGTTGAAGCTTCAGGCTGACCATACAAACTGTTGCATGGTGTTTTGTACGTGGTGCAGATGGCAGTTTTATTCAAATCCAGCTTGCTGGAATCCTTGGAAGTCCAAGATAGGAGCCCCTAAAAGCCTCACTTTTCTGGTATGTGGAGCACTTCAGCTCCAGCTGTCTTCAGTGACAGTTGGTCATTGCCTGGAGTTCTCTTGCCTACATTGGTGTAACTCCTTGGTGTGTTGACTCATATATTGGAACGTGAGGTGGTTCACTAACGAATACGATCTCGTACTTCCCTCAGGTGTATACTGACTGGCATGGCGTCTGGGAGCATAGTGGTTTTCTACAATGATTTCAATCGTTGGCACCACGAGTATCAAACCCGATACTGATCTTCGCAGAGACCAAGATGAAGCGGTGATGGGGGCAGCTGTGGTCAGAGGGCAACTGAACACAGCACGCCTCCCCTTGGTGTCTTGCCACAACATTCTTCCTTATAAATAGCTATATTACATCTGAATGTAACTTAAATTTGCTGGAAGAAGCAACCTATTTTTTAAAGTTAATTGCTATTTTTGTAGACCTTGCTTGACTTTTTTGGGGGAAGGGCAAAGAAGCAGAAAAATGGCTGCTGGGTTCTGTAGTTAAAAATCTATATTTTTAGTCATAATGAGAAGTCTATTTTGATCCCTGTATGTAAAAGAAACCTAAAGTAAAGGTGGTTAAAACTCACATTCTAGCTGTATTATGAAGAAACGGATTTTCCATCTGAAGCTTTATCTATAACCTTGAGGAATATATGATTTTAACATAATGGAAGTGAATTACAATGTTTGGGGAATTTTAATCTGTGCTATCTGTACCACACTTTGTCTCGTACTTTTCCAAATGATTGTACTACATCAGCACTGAAGTTTCTGGGACTCAATGGTAATATTTAAATTATGGTTAATGTAATTTTAAACTTTGCAAGTTGTTTCCATCAATGTTACTATTCAAGCATGTTTCTAGGCCTAGACAATTAGTTCTTTTTTAGTTGTATGTTTTGTGCAGTTGAGAGAGAGAAATCGGGAGTGGAGTTTGTGTTACGTCAAGTGTGAATCCTTCTAGTTTCTACCTGGCGTCTCCTTCAAAGCACACCAAAATGTGGATTGTTCCTCAAAATCAGAAAGGCTAGGTTGAAGACTTTCAAGTCAAGTTAGAAACCCACAGAGGCAGGTGTTTTTTAATAGGTGCAAGTACCAAAGCACACTTCTGCTGGTTGACTGTGAAAGCGCTAAAAAGGCAGGTGTTTGCTGATGCACAGCCTCTATACAGCAGCAGAAGCACTAGACTTGGAGGCAACTGACTCTTTTTTTTTTTTTTTTTTCCCCCCAGAACTAGCCCCTGCAATACTGTAGCACATGCCAGATTCCTTTTCTGGGTATAGCAACAATCTCTTTCCTATTTTGCTGTCGCCAAATCCAGTCAGACCCTGCCTAATCATATTAAATGACCTCTTTCTTTTAGGAAATGAAAAGTAATTTATACTAAGGAACAATAAGTTATTTTGGTGTTGCACAAATCTACTTTTCTACAAGATTGCTGTGCAGAACTCTGTGAAAATATTTGTGAAAAGAACTGTTATTGTTTTGTAAGTCTGTATTGCAGAAAAATCTTCTTTGTATGTTGTGATCTATATGAGTTGAAATTTACATTCCATATCTGTATTGATACCTACATTTCTCTAGCTGCCTACTAGAGCAGTTCCTGTTTTTTCTAAGCATTTAACTACTGTCTCTTTCAGTAAAGATTTGGAATGAGAAAATTCAGTTTGAGTGAAGAAATTAAATAAAATTACGTTTGTAACTGAGAGCCTCGGTGGAGTACTGGGTTCTTGCGACTCAATGTATATTCACAATAGAGGAAATAGGTGCTATGGCTAATGCATTTAAAGTACTGCTGGTGTTTACGCAATGGTGACTAAGTTTTTTGTGCTTTCTGCATTTTTATACTGATGTGGTTATGGTGGTATCAGGAGAGTTACATTTTTATGTTTTGTGTAGCAGAAGGATGATCTGATTAAGCGAAGGCTGTAGTTGCCCTGTCTGTGGTAAGTGTCCACTGTTCTGAGCAGTTATCTGTTATGCAAAACTCGTACTTCACATTTCCTTAAGTTCCACAGCATTCATAGCTTTGTAGCTGAAGATTTTGAGGGGAAATTGGTATGCTTTAAAGTGCAACTTGCATTTGTCTGAACCCAGGGGTGGGTTTCCCAGGCTAGGTAGAGGGGAAAAAAACCCGTACAAAGAAGGGATATTTTGCCAAATGGAAATCCTGAAAGTGTTCTCTTTATGATCTCCTGCTGACTTAGGAAACACTTTATTATTGATAGAAGTTATAGTTTCTGATCTTAGAGCCAAAAATATTTCATGGGGAGTTGATGTGGTAGATTGCTTGTTGTAGAAGGGGCCCTACTGATCCCGAGATGCTTTCCCAAACGGAAAGCACGACTGTATCTGTGCGTGCCATCCTGAGTTACAGCCAGCCAGTGCGTGCTGCCGGGCAGCAGTGCGATGGTACCAAGTACTCCTCGGGGAAGCGGTGGCGGCGGTGCAGCGCCGTGTTTTGCACTTTGAGTGCTGCAGCCCTTCTGTGGAAAAGGACATCTTCACCTTCTGCTCCGTGAGCAAGCCTGCGAAGACACCCCCATTCTGGACTGCTTTGGTGAGTAGGACGTACCCCTCCTTCCACGGCTAAACAAACGTACCTTGGGCACCGCCCTGGGGGGGTTCAGGCTTCCACTTGGGATTGCAGCTTTGGCTGAACTAGTCCACGTCATGCTGTTTGTGATGAAGTGGCAAAAAAGGGGTTAAATTTCCACCTATTCAGATATTTGTTAGTCTATTCAGGGCAGCACCTGTGTCAAATGGATTGCTTGAAACCTATTTAATCAACAGGTGCCAGGCATTAACCTGTAGCTGGACCTCAGCTGGCTGTTCTCTGCAGAATATTCCTGAAAAGAAGGAGCCGAGTCCTCTATCTCCTCAAAATTCAGAGGGAGCTTTTATGAACAGCATTTTCTTACGTGACAGTCCGGGCTTTCTTCTGTTCTGGTAAGTTCAAGTGGACATGGTGTTAGCTGTAGTTTATGGTAGGGGCTCTGGAAAGCAGCGCTTGCTGCTGCTGAGAGCAAGGCTAGTCAGCGGCAGTGCTGCAAGTTTCTTTTGTGGGGAAACACTTAGTGTGAGTAGCTTGAAATCCCTCCTATTTGGTGAAAATTGCTGATATAAATGCTGTAGGATCTGGCAAGAGATGATGATGTGATCAGAGTGGTGGTTTCTCTGAACGAAGTTTGTGTTGTGGTGTTACTGCAAGCAAAGGTAAATGGCTGATGTAATACTTTTGAGCATATTTCTTCAGTTCTTGGTTCTGTCTGTGCGTTATCAAAAAGTCTCTACGCTTGTAAAGAGTGCCTTGTGCAAAGTATACGTATTTATTACTGTTTCTGGTCCTGATGTACTCTTGGTAGTCCTCTACCGATCTGCAGCGCCTTGTTTCTGCTGAAGATTCCTGTTCTGCTGGTTTAGTGCTTAGCAGAATAAATGTCTGAAAGAGCTAATCTGATACCAAGGTAATACAGAGTTACCTGCGGATGTTCTGCTGATGGAGGTTGTTATTTACTAGGAAAGTTTAGAATCACAGAATCATTTTGGTTGGAAAGATCCTTAAGATCCTTGAGTCCAGCTGTTAACCTAGCACTGCCAAGCCCACCACTAAACCACGTCCCTAAGCACCACACCTACATGTCTTTTAAATACCTCCAGGGATGGGGACTCCACCGCTTCCCTGGGCAGCCTGGTCCAGTGCCTGACAACCCTTTCGGTGAAGAAATTCTTCCTAATACCCAATCTAAACCTCCCCTGGAGCAACTTGAGGCCGTTTTCTCTTATCCTATCACTGGTTACTTTGGAGAAGAGA